AATAAATTATGGAAATAAATAAAGTTATCTCGCTTGTATATAAACTATAATTTTATAAAAATGTTAATGAAGTAATGAAGAAATAAATCTTAGGAGGAATAATAAAATTTGACAGAAGTTAAAGAATAATTAAACGTAAAGAAATGAAGAAAAATAAATAAAAAATATTAAAGGAGAAATTAAAGAATAATAAGGAGAAATAATATATTTGAAAAACACATTTGTAAATAATATCCAGAAGATAATCGGAAGATATACTTAGAAGATATTCGGAACAAACATTCGGAAGACATATTCGTAAAAGATATTTGGAAGTAACATTCAGAAATAATATTCGGAAGATATAATCAGAAGAGATAAATAAATATAATGTTAAGAATAATAAGAATAAAGAGACGAAGTATAATAAACAAAGAAAGATAAAGAATAACTTAACTGAAGATTAGAGGACAATAACATTGAAAAGAAATTATTAAAGAAAATTATTGCTTAACGTGAAGGAAAAGATTCTTAGCAATTAAAAATTAATTTGTAAAACAAATCCTCTTGATGACGAATGGCAGAAACGATCAAGAAGGCACAAGCTATGTTGAAGCTTATCGAACTCAAAAATGCTATACATTTGTAAAACAAGGGTTATGGCAACTACAGCGTTAAAGTATTATAGAGTATATAATTAAAGATAACGAAAGTGATGCTATAGGCAATATAAACCATTTAACATAAAGGATCAATAATAAATCACGTAATTTTTTAGTTTATATATTATACTAGTTGATGAATTCAAATAAAATTTTTTCAATTACACAAAATACCAAAAATTTTATTATTGCGAGCGTCATATTAAAAATATTACAAAAATTCATTTCGTAGACTAACAAAGCAACGCATAACATTTTCCAAATATAATACCACCACTTTTTTTAAATCAACCAATAGGTTGCATCATAAGATTGATTATACACAGTTCTAATATACCCCCTTGCTATTATTAAAATCATAAATTCATATTAAGAATTAAACAAAAAATTAAAATTCCAATTACAAAAAAATTCAAATTAAAAGAATTAAAATAAAACTATAAAACTAATAGAAGAAGTATTTCAAAATGCTCACTATTCCTCTTTAAAAATAACATTTCTTTTACTAAATCTGGAGATAAATGAGTTTATTTAGCGAAAATATGATTACCCGCATCTGAAAATAATCATTTACTTGGAACTGAAGTTGCAGGAATAAATAAATATTTTCTTGCAATTTGTGCTAAAATTGGTAAAATAGTCTTGTTAACTAACCACTATTTTAATGGATCATCCTTTAGTCCAACTTTTTTTGTTGTAAGTAAAGTTTAACCTCATCATCATCTTCTTCAATATCATTTACATTATTTTCTAACACTTTAAAAATATTATTTTCATTATCTAATAAAGATGGATTATTAATAATCCTTTCTTTTAGCGGAAAATCATTTTTTGCATTATTATATAAGTCTCAAACTAATATTTCAGCTTCATTTTTATTATAACCATTACACCATTCAAAGTTTTTAAATCAAGGATCCAAAAATGATGCAATGAGTACAATGTCAGATGAAATTGACCAAAGTTCATCTAAGGATAAAAAGATAGCTACACGAACTTTTTGTTGTAAGCCATTAACATTTACTGGTTGTAAATATTCTACATTACTTATATTATCTAAATTTAATTCAGTTAAATGAATTGTTTGAGCTCGACCTTTTCTATAATTTTGACCTTGATTTTGCTTATTCCTATAATATTTATGATATGCATAATACCAATGTTATCTTGTTTTACCTGAAGGAATATATTCATTATCACTTATAATATCAGAATCCTCAGTAAAATCTTCAATATTAGAACCATATACCAAATTAATATAAGTATCAAAACTTTCACCTTTTTCTTCATTCAGAGCAAATGATTTTTTAAGTAAATGCATATAAGGGATAATAAGACTTAAAGTTGGATATGCAGCTCCACAAATTTTACAAATTATAGTTTTAAATAGTTCTAATATAATAATCATTTGTTGAAGAAAACTATTATAAAAAAGTAAATATTAGAATTTTAAATTTATATTAAATTTTAAATATTATAGAAAATAAAAATAAATTAATTTTTACCTTTTTCATTTGGACTTAAACATAATCGTTCTAATTTTTCACCTCTCTTTGAGAGACTCGATCAGCTTTTAAAAGTAATTCTGTAGATACAATTCTTATAGAATTATGTAATTCTAAAACTCTTTTCCATGCATGATATATAGAATTCCATTTAGTTTTAACATCATTCAAAACATCAAGTGGATTTACACTTTCACCTTCAATTAATTGACCATTTGTTTGAGCTACTCAAAGCCTTTCTGCTTGTTTTGGTAGACAAAAAAAATTTGTAAGCTTTTGATTTAACGATGAAATGCTTTACATTTCTTTAAATCTTCTAATACTGAAAGTTGTAAGGTGTGTACTATGCAGGGCTGACGTTGTATTTGGTCAAAATAAGTTTCATTTAATAAACGAACTGCCTTTATCATATTTGCTTTATTATCTGTTGCTATTGTAAAACTGTTGAAGTTAAATGCCAATCTTCTAATATTTGAAATAATTCATCACTTATAACTTCGCCAATGTGAAGATAAGGAAGGTAATTACAAGTCACTAATACTTTTATAAACTCAAAATTTGAAGTTAAACATGTTGCAATTAAACCAAGATAACCATGCCAAGATTTAGCTGTCCAAAGGTCAGTTGTTAAATGAACTGTTATTATTATACTTCTTAACAATGATTGAAGTTGTTTTTACTCCATTGATATACTGTATAAAGTATTCCCTTTAGGGTTTTATCATATGTAATTCTATAACCTATTTACATGTTAGTAAAGATTCCAAAATGCAGAGTTTTGAAGAATATATAAAGGTTAAACATTTTTGATAATAAAATCAGTGACTTTTTGAGTGATTATTTCTTGTCGTATAGGAAAACATGGTGTAGAATTAGAATTATTCATAAAATCTGTAATTCGTTATTGATCCCTGTATAGCTATTAAATTGCAAATTAAAAAATTAGAAATGTTGATCATTAGCTTTATAATAAATAAAAAAAAAATTAAAAAAATAAGAACTCTTCTCATTCATCCAAAAATTCAAAATAGTTATTTTTTGTTATATTATATTTATCCTGTAAATGCGATATAAGGTTGGTTGTATTTCCACCCTTTTTACTATAACTATAAGTGGATTTATTTGTTCCTGTAAAATTAGTTTCGCAAACTTTACAATAAGCAATATTAGATTCTACTTGAAAAAAATATGTTGTATGACTACAATTGCTTCGATCTGATGTCTTGTTTTTTGTTTTTTATTGGTAATACTACCTCTACTACTTCTTATACTTGCAGTTTCATTGATAGTTTGATTTTCAGAATTGGACATGTTTTTTAACAAAAAAAGAAACGGAAATTTTTTAAGAATGAGTTTCAACCCGATATGAAATATTATCATGTGATTTTATAAAGGGTAAACTATTTGTGTAATCAGATGCAACTAAAAATGGGCATACGTTAATTTTCATGTGTTCTAATTGCAATGGTTATGCAAATCAGATGCAGATGGTTTAATAGCAAACCGGTTTGCAGTTTTATTGAAATCATAACCCGGATTAGCAAAGAATCAGTTTAAACCGAATTTAAAACTGGATTGATAAATCTGGTTCCAACCTCTACCCTGTGGCTATGTAATTCGACTTTGTTCTAAGTCTAATAATGCATTTAAGAATCAATCAGTAAAATTTTCTATAGATTCTTGACTCACTCCAAGTGGTTATTCCAATACTCAAATTTCTCCTCCATTTGCTAATCACCATAATACAATGGCTATTTGTTACCATAGCATTAGAATCATTTGAAATAAAATCTGGATGGTTTTCTAATTGAATTATAAGAGCACGAAAAATGGTAAGTATAATGCGAAAGTGTCTTCGAAAAGAGTTAAAGCTGTCTCTATCTACTAAATATGGGAAAAACATCTGTCTAAATCTCTTCAGTTTTGAGTCTTAACCAACTTTATACTCTTGTATTTTGTGAAGGGAAAAGAATAGTTGAATTACTACAGTTTAAAATTTAGATGATGATAAATGTCGAATATTTTTTGTATTTGAATATTCCGAAACCTTTTATTTGCTATAAGGATTTGTAAAATAAGGAATAGTAGCGTAATATTCTGGCAACGTTGTTGCTGAAAATCCATAATGTTAAAATTAAAAGAAGGAAGTATGTTTGTGCAAACTTTTTGGTTACTCAATTAATGGTAAATTTTAACATCTGTGAAAAGAAAAAGGTGGTTTGTAGCTCTAGGTTTTTTACTTAAATGATTATCGCTTTCAATTTTTTTGGATTTTTTTAACCAATCAGATTATCCAATAACTTAATGAGGGAGAACGTATAAATTCAATTAAAATCGATCAACCAATCACGTGAAAGTCCTCATATAACACACGCTTTAGTAACCCTATTAAAAATGTTTTGTACTGATTTCATACAGATGTATACCAGTTTTTGTGTAGTTATTTTAATTTTCCATACAAAAATAATTGTACAGAAATTTTAACATAGAGAAATCGTACACAAAAAAATTTGAAATTTGAAATATAAAAATTGTGCTGATATTGTATTGAAAAATTAAAACATACAGATTTTGTATAGTTTAGTATTTTATCGACGTACGTATGGAAAATTTAATATTACTAAAAGTGGGTAAATTAAATTAATTAATTTTTTACAAAAATTGCAAATAATAACTAACTGAGCCTTTAAACCTTTCTTGACGTTAAAAGTAAACTTGCAGAGCAGACAAAAATACTATCTATGATAATAAATTTAAACTAAGAAATTATCATACAAAAACTATATCGATTAGTACAATTGATTTTCCTAATTCAGAATTTGTAGGAAAAATGTGCTAAAAAATTGACCATACAGGTACTAGGGTTATTTCATGTTTTGGCATCCTACACTGTCCGAAAATTGTAGTGTTTTTTTTTTTGGCACAAAAACTGTATTGGATTTTTTTCATAGGGTCGCGGAACTGCTTTTTTTATCTTTTATATTTTCTGCTTGAACCAATATAACACCATATGCTGACAAACTGTTAAGTTTACAATAAAGTTAAGGTTACATTAGGAAGTTTTATTGTCTTTTATCTTTTCTTACTCTGTTACAGTTTAAAGAATGGGCAATAATTTGGTTCCCAAATATTTCTCACTTCTCTCGATCCTAAAATTCCACAAGACAAAAGATGTTTTCTCGTTCAATAAGAAGGTCGAGCATACTCTTGTATCAAAGTTTGTTTCATACGTTGCAGAAATGCAAATAAAAATTGGAGAGAGGCGGCCTCCATCCTCATCAGAGAGCTAAACGTGAGTATCGTTATTGATACAAAGCGGTGAAGAAATAGAAATGAAGTTGGACGCTGTACAAAAGTAACCTTACAACACGTTAGGTTATCTATGGAGACTAGTTATGAAACTTCCTCCGTGGCTTCATTAAATCTATGTGAAGGCCAGAGACAACTCGTCTCGGTGTCAAGAACAACTCGTTCATTCACAGTTCCTAAATTACCTTTAATTGTATTGAAAAAGTTTTAGTAAGTTTTAATTTATTTCTGCTTTTTAAGTGTCAGACTCAATGGGAATCTACTAATTCTTTCTGGAGCAATGTTGAGCTTGAGGAAGTTGAGAAAGACGAACAGTTATTGAGGAGGAAATAGATCAAGCCGAGGTATTTGTCAGTTTAACTTGAATATCAGTGTATATGAACTATAATAACAGTTTTTTACTATTTGCAGATACAATTTGGTTTGGAACAAACTTTAGCCAGAAATGAGGCTCAAGTTATCTTGAACCAGATAAAGTTGCGTATTTTATCTGATTGGAAGAATTCTAAGAGAAAAGCTACCGATTATGATACAGACAAGGACGATATAGATGCATTAACATTTCCCACAGAAAAGTTAACAACCACTCTTCAAAGGTACACTATTATTGTTTTCGCAATAGTTTATATTTTTTCATTAAATTTTTGCATTTTTGTAGATGAGATCGATGGATTTTTTCAAAGCCCCACTGAACAAAATCAAAAACAAATGCGATTATGAAACGTCTGAAATTGGATGAGAACTTCTCAACGAGGATGGTGAGGTATGGTATTCCCATTGTTTAATTATCGACATCAAACTCAGGGATTATATAAGATTGTATTTACTCGCCTAATAATTTTTTATGAAATTCTTATTAGTTATTTACACTCACAAAAAGTATTAAATGAAAGTATCGAATTGGATACATATAAAAAAGGTAAAATATTATAGATAAAGCTATAGGAACGTAAAAGCTTATGTATTTTTCTATATTTAGGCGAAAAAGGTTACGAGAGTTGCTTCAAAAGCAAATACTCGGAAATCAAAAAATGCTTCAGAAAAAGTATTCGTGAAAAGTCTACTTCTGAGAAGTCTTCCTCTTCTGATTAGGGCCCGAGGGTGACGAAATATAAAGCTTGGTTTTGCAAGCATTGAGAAAGAATTGTTACGGGAATAATCAAATGAGGTACATGTCAAAATACTGGTGCTTTTATTCTGATATCTCAACATTTTATATCCGTTTTTAGTGGGAAATCGGTACTATAAATGTATCGCAAAGATTTAGAAAATATAAAATAAAAATACTCGAGAAAGCGAAGATTGATGGACTCAAATGGATGATTTTCATGAAGTTTGTAAGCATTTTTGGTCATGTAATGATTATATAGTACAATGTGTCATGCTAACGATTTCTATTTATGCTTAATAGGGCATTGTCTTCTATAATTGTCATAAGTTTGCCTTCCTCTACCCTGGTCATATTTTCACCATTTGGGAATGGCGAACGATTACACGTGAGAATCACTATGTTATAACTGAACCGGTACTGCCATCGGATAAATGTTTTGGCCGAATTCATGGAAGGCAAGAACCCATTTTATCTTTGGGAGATTCAGTAATCGGGCGGATGGTCACACGAATTTTTAATGACATGTAAGTTTTTATCCTATGACATATCTAAAACCGAGATCAGATCTGTCTTAACTTTTTATTTCATGTATAACAGGATAGTAGTGTTCCTAAGGTTGCTTCAACAAAAGCTTCAGAGGATGAGCACTGCTTCAAGTTGCTACATCCAATCATCCGTCCATTGTTTTTCACTGATTCTCGCGAAGAATACGTTATTCGACTGAATCGTACTACTAGCGGGGTATGATGATAAGTCCTGATTTTTCGTGCCTGGTTAAAGATATTTCTATATTGGATTCGGAGATAAAGCCACCCGGATTCATACATCTTCAAGGAAAAAAGGACAAGTTGAAGGTACAGTTGAGAGCGCGAAAGTCAATCAATCAATTATTAAGAACGAAAGGTGGATCAGACGAAACGGTTTTGCTAACAAATCAAGGTATTTTTGCGTGTAATCGGTAAAGCTTGATTCAACTTCAATTAAATATATTAACAATGCCTTCAGGAGATTTGGTAGAATCACATATAATCTAAGATGCGATGGACTTTCTCGTTCATGGCCGTTTTTAACTACACGATCAACCAAGTATAAAACGATCATTCCTTTAATTGAGTCGAATATCCGCCACATTAAAGCAAAACATTAGAGGTACATACAGTGGCGATCATAAATAATGCAACAAAAAAATAAAATTCTTTAAATTTAAATATTTCTTTCAATTCTAGAG